GACAGATAGGTGTACCATACAAACAGGTGTACCATATAGACAAACAGGTGAACCATACAAACAGGTGTACCATATAGACAGGTGTTCCATATAGACAAACATGTGTACCAATAAGAAGGTTTACCATATAGACAGGTGTACCATATAGACAAACATGTGTACCATATAGACAAACAGGTGTACCATAAAGACAGGTGTACCATATAGACAAACAGATGTACCATATAGACAAACAGGTGAACCATATAAACAGGTGTACCAATAAGACATAAAGGTATATCATATGGACAGGAGTACCATATAAAAAAGTACGTACCAAATAGACAGACAGGTGTAACATATAGACAAACAGGTGTACCAAATAGACAAAAAGGTTTACCATATAGACAGGTGTACCATACAAACAAACAGGTGTACTATACAAACAGGTGTACCGTATAGACAAACATGTGTACCATATAGACAAACAGGTGTACCATAAAGACAGGTGTACCATATAGACAAACAGATGTACCATATAGACAAACAGGTGAACCATATAAACAGGTGTACCAATAAGACATAAAGGTATATCATATGGACAGGAGTACCATATAAAAAAGTACGTACCAAATAGACAGACAGGTGTACCATATAGACAAACAGGTGTACCAAATAGACAAAAAGGCTTACCATATAGACAGGTGTACCATATAAACAAAGAGGTGTACTATACAAACAGGTGTACCATATAGACAAACAGGTGAACCATACAAACAGGTGTACCATATAGACAGGTGAACCATATAGACAAACAGGTGTACCATATAGACAGGTGAACCATATAGACAAACAGGTGTACCATATAGACAAGTGTACCATATAGACAAACAGTTGCACCATATAGACAAGTGTACCATATAGACAAACAGGCGTACCATATAGACAGGTGTACCATATAGACAAACAGGTGTGCCAAATAGACAAACATGTGTACTAAATAGACAAACAGGTGTACCATATAGACAAGTGTACCATATAGACAAACAGTTGTACCATATAGACAAGTGTACCATATAGACAAACAGTTGCACCATATAGACAAGTGTACCATATAGACAAACAGTTGCACCATATAGACAAGTGTACCATATAGACAAACAGGTGTACCATATAAACAGGTGTACTAAATAGACTTAAAGGCATAAAGGAGTACATATAGACAGGAGTACCATATAAAAAATATGTGTACCATATAGACAAACAAGTGTACCAAATAGACAAACAGGTGTACTAAATAGACAAACAAGTGTACCAATAAGAGAAACAGGTGTACCATATACACAAACAAGTGTACCAAATAGACAAACATGTGTACTAAATAGACAAACAGGTGCACCAATAAGAGAAACAGGTGTACCATATAGACAAACAGGTGTGCCAAATAGACAAACATGTGTACTAAATAGACAAACAGGTGTACCATATAGACAAACATGTGTACCATATAGACAGGTGTACCATATAGACAAATATGTGTACCAAATAGACAAACAGGTGTACCAAATAGATAAACATGTGTACCAAATAGATAAACATGTGTACCAAATAGACAAACATGTGTACTAAATAGACAAACAGGTGTACCAATAGGAGAATCAGGTGTACCATATAGACAAACAAGTGTACCAAATAGACAAACATGTGTACTAAATAGACAAACAGGTGCACCAATAAGAGAAACAGGTGTACCATATAGGCAAACAGATGTACCAAATAGACAAACATGTGTACTAAATAGACAAACAGGTGTGCCATATAGACAAACATGTGTACCATATAGACAGGTGTACCATATAGACAAATATGTGTACCAAATAGACAAACAGGTGTACCAAATAGATAAACATGTGTACCAAATAGATAAACATGTGTACCAAATAGACAAACATGTGTACTAAATAGACAAACAGGTGTACCAATAAGAGAAACAGGTGTATCATATAGACAGGTGTACCATATAGACAAACATGTGTACCAATTTGGCAAACAGTTGTACCAAATAGATAAACATGTATACTAAATAGACAAACAGGTGTACCATATAGACAAACATGTGTACTAAATAGTCAAACAGGTGTACCAAATAGTCAAACAGGTGTACCAAATAAATTAACAAGTAAACCATATAGACAAACAAGTGAACCAAATAGACAAACAGGTGTACCATATAGATCTGGACATAACCGGCACCGCACAATACTGTCACATAAATACATATTTGAACTAACCTCACCTGGTCCAGAAAAAGTTGCATAAGCTGATCGAGTTACGCATGCACAGGTGGTGTCTTTCATTACATAATAACATAATTGACACTAATACAAAATCGATACGTCAATGCGCTCTAATTAAGTTACGCTATTGTCTATTCACTTCTCCTAATGATATACACCCATTTCTCAATAAAGGGAAAACAATACAATCAACTACGAGAACACATTTCACACTGACCTAATCTTTAGTACTTCTGTCAAAATACCGACCTATCCGTGAGGGCCCCCTGAACATCCATTCATTTCGAAACGTGCATCTTTAACTAATCGATGTGGTCCGTATACGTACTCGCGCCGGAGGAGGATTGTGATTCAGCATGAGAGCAGTACAGGACACGTGACCAGTGTAGTCTGGATCTAAGGTCAGGCAGTAAAAGGACAATACGATGACGTCCTGGACGGAATGTAAACACTGACAATATTCGGTAAGTAAGGATTTGTAAAGATTTGTGAAATGTATAGCTATAAGAGTTGTCTACCTTCATAATTGCTCTGCATTGAAAAGGTTGGTATCTCGATCGATATATTATAATTAGTGAATCTGCGGGTTAGTTGCCAGAAAGCGAGATGACGAAATAAAAAGGCAGACAGGCCCTGTACAGACGAATGATTAAACTTGGCCGAGTCATTGCAGTATAGTATTAGGTCATTTCCGGGAATACTTTTACCTATTACACTGTACTTCTTACAAACTTTTCATAAATATCTTGGGGGGAGGGGGATCATCCTTATCGCGTGATTCCCAAATAGTACCTCCATTTATATGGGGGATTGTAAGCTGAATGTTACACCATCAAGCCATACTAGTAGGTGTATTGTTTTAGAAAATATAGATATAACTACAAAGACCGAACTTAAGTACAGTAAAGTCCTACGATTCTGAACATGAATGTAGACAAATACTCATACACGTACATAGGCACATTTACATACACGTACATAGGCACATTTACATACACGTACATAGACGCATTAACATACACGTACATACCGGTACATTAACATACACGTACATAGGCACATTTACATACACGTACATAGGCACATTAACATACACGTACATAGGCACATTCATATAACATACATAGGTACATTCATATCACGTACATAGGTTCATTAATATCACATACATAGGCACACTTTCATACACGTACATACCGGTACATTTACATACACGTACATAGGCACATTAACATACACGTACATAGGCACATTCATATAACATACATAGGTACATTCATATCACGTACATAGGTTCATTAATATCACATACATAGGCACACTTTCATACACGTACATACCGGTACATTTACATACACGTACATAGGCACATTAACATACACGTACATAGGCACATTCATATCACATACATAGGTACATTCATATCACGTACATAGGTTCATTAATATCACATACATAGCTATAGGCACACTTTCATACACGTACATACCGGTACATTTACATACACGTACATAGGTACATTTATATCACATACATAGGCACATTTACATACACTTACACGATCACATTTATTGAACATACACGTACATAGGCAGATAAACATACACGTACATAGGTACATTTATATAGGCGTACATAGGCACATTTACAAACACGTACATACCGGTACATTAACATACACGTACATACCGGTACATTTACATACACTTACACAGGCAGCACGATAACATCATTGTACCCAAAACGGGTCATTCTTTTCATAAACAACAGTGTTTTTTAAACCCCCTCCCCCAAAAACCCATCTCCACTTTCCTTTTTCGATGACAAACGTGAACATAATCCACTTTAGTCTACTTAATTACCTTGAAACTGATGAAATGAACGAACGTCTGAGCACATAGAGAACATGTAATGTACTATTGAGGTGCACTAGATCCAGTATTACATCACTATCAATCGTGTCACATTGAAAGTTTTAAGTATACAAGTACTGGTTAGGAATTAGGAATGTGTTGACCACTAGCGACCACTAGTGACCAAGACCGTCCTTTCACACTCTCTTTTTGTTTTCTGTCATACTAAATTGACTACTTATGCATGTCGTCCCCTTCATACTATGTTTGGCGCATATTCATCAACATGTTTTACATACAACATCATTTAACAATGTTTACACCAGAAAGGTTAATTTATTTCCGTTATCATGTAACTGACATAGAAGTTAATTAACCGTTCGTAGACTACTTGTTTACCCTTGATATTGTACACATGTACTATGGACTTTACCCTCAGCTTATTTCTGTTCTTCGTCATCACGTAAAATACTATAGACAGTCCGTGTTATACGTATCTATTCAGTGAATAACGAGCCCAGTGTTTCGAGCTACACGTATGTTGTATCCTATAACCTGTCTTAAGTGTTTATAATCCGCATCAGAATTAGCCATCGTGTTGGCATTAATGTTTATATTTCTCAGATTAAGAAATCACATATGCTTGAATCGAATGAAAAAATTAAATATCGGACTTGGGCAAGGCTAGTGCAACCGCCGCCGGCCGAATAAAACAGTAGCGATATGAAATTGTAATTGTTTTCCAAATATATTACAATACTTACAATATTTCAGATTTGGGGTGACTGAACAAAATGACCAGCTTTTTTTTTCTTTTTTTTCTTTTTAGATAGTTAGGATATAATTGAATTATTATTAAATGAAAATCCGTGACGCGTTTATATTGATATGTTCCCCTGCTAAAATAATTTCAACTTTATTGTTTGATATGTATATGTAGCATGAATATGTTGACACGGAAATTACCATTCTTTATTTTGTAATCAATGGTCCCTGTTTGCTTCCTCAGGTAGCCGTTCGTGTACAGGGTTTTAAACGTTTTAAACGTTCCAATGAGAAGACATGTGCTTATTTCCGTCTCCAGGCCACATCTTAACCGTTATCATGCCTTGACCTATTTTAAACGAAGTCAATACATTGTTTGTGTTTGTTTCGTTCTTAATGTTATCTTGTAGGGCACTGAGAGACCGATCCATTGCGGACACACATTTTGTGTTGTACTCGCGATCGTCAGACAGCAGTAAGTAGCGAGTCGCCCCCGGCCTTTGCACAGGGGTGATAATTGTACTAAATCCACTAAGCTTCATTCGTATAATATAATTTGTATATATATTATTTGACCGTGTGTTTTGAATTACAGGAAATGTATATTTTACTGTAGCCTTAATCATTATAATTGATTATGTTATATTTCTAGATACGGTTATTCTAAATGTCATCAGCTTTTAAACGGATAATACCGATTTTTTCGTCATAACTGATTGAACGGGCTGGGTCTGGTGTATCACTCCTAAGGAGCTTAATGCTAAATTAAATGAAGGTCTCTTTTGAAGGGCATTTACCGGAATAATAACATATTATTTTATGTAAGTGTTAGGGTTATGATTTTGAATGTCAGGAAATGAAAAGTCTGTTGTAATTTTAATATTTATAAAATATTTTACATCCATGTATAATTAAAAATAACAATGATACTTAATACTTATGTGTATTATTCGGTTTTTATGCAGTGACCGAAATCTGTTACAAACTGATTTCTTTGATTGTATCGGTAAATTTAAAAATAATTAAACTAACAATGCTTTTTAATATTACAGCGGAACTCTGAGCATTTTTTAACAGGAGAGATAGCGACGACCAACGTGGACATAGACACGGCGATTTAATTGTGCTGAACACCTAAACAGAAGTCATGCATTTTGACGATTTGCTGCTGATACTTGGTGGATTCGGACGTTACCAAAAGATCCGTCTGTTTCTGATATGCTTAGTGGGAATTCTGTGTGCATTTCACGCCATGAACATGGTGTTTGTTGGTGCTAAACCGGGTTATCAATGTAGAATCGGTCAAACAAACCTTTCAAGAAAGGAGTTTGCTAATACAACTTTTGAAGACTGGGAAAGGTTTCTGCGAAATTCAGGGAAAGGATGTTCAATTTACAGTCCCTCGCAAACATATGATTTGATAGTGAATGGAAATCTCACCATTGATGGATCAAAGGTGACGGGCGATTCCAGCCTGTCCACCGAGTCCTGCACGGACTGGGAGTATTCTCAGGATGTGTACGGACCGACCATTGTATCTGAGGTAGGAATGACGTCATTATCTTGCAGTTTGTCACCCGTCATGTTTATGCCACTTTTTTACCCAGCAGTAGGAGCATGCAGTTTGTTTTCTCCAAAATAATCAAGTACAGCTATACCGCAACGTCAATACCCGAACAAAAATATGATATCGGCATATTTGAATTATGAATGATATTATGCAAAAACTGGAAAATTATTATTATATTAATGTTCATATGCATATTGCATGTTTTTTATTCGGTTTTATGTGTGTATGCGTTATGTGCGGTATGAGACATGTGTAATGTTGAAGTGTTTGATTGTTGTATGTCCATTTATGTCCATAGTTCGATCTGGTATGCAGTCAGGCCTGGCTACGAAGTACAGCAAAGACCCTCTACTTCTTTGGTCGAGTAATCGGCTCTGTTGTATTTGGGCAGCTATCAGACATGTACGTTACAATAAAGTATTTCAAATTGTGTTGAACTTTCGTCAACTGAATAGCTGTTGGAATTGTAATACTTCATCCTATAACATCACGTATTTATAAAACGTTGCTGTTTTTTGAACGAAAAATATATATACACATTAAAATAAACAGTGTGAATAAAAATATTATTCGAACTGAAAATCGATGAAATCAGGGCAAAATATGAACAAAGTAAATAGTTATATAGAGACCATTGAAAAGTACAACGAGAATAAGACCAGGTGTTCCAGAAGGGTAAGTGTATCTGCTTCATTGACGTCAAAAAAATAATGTGTTCTATTTTTTCAGATTTGGGCGGAAACCGATGTTCCTTTCAGGTCTTCTGTCACTTCTGGTAGCCGGATGTGTAGCGTCAGCAGCTCCCTCCATGGCTGTTTTCATTCCGTTTTATATCCTGCAGGGGGCAGCACAAACGGGCTTGTACTTGGTCGCGTTCACCATGTGTACGTTTAGCTTCTTACTATATTTTGTGTCCTTGTGAGTACGGTTCCTACTGTGTGACGTAGTGATATTATTTTACATTTACATTTCTTTTTGTTAAAATCAAGGTTTTAACATGATCTAAAAAAAATCTTTAAATATTTTAAAATTTACTTTAAAGTTCTGATAGCTCTAGTTCCTTATACAATGTTTTAAACAACATTACATGCGCACAATTGTAACGACATCATGCATAGAGCACGATAGAACAAAAAGGTCAATGCACCAGGTCGATAGAAGATCTACAGAGTGCCAAATGTACCGAAATAGCTGTTATATTTATAGGTGGGAGATAGTAGGGAGATAGCCAGAGTCTCCGATTAGGTTATGTTTACTTAGCAGATATTACGGCCGTTGTATTCTCCAGTGCGGCTGTGTTGATGCTTATGAACGGTGACTGATCATGACCCATGTCGATTGTACGTCAATTAAAATCCTGATATGTCATGTCATCAGACTAGAATATTGTCAACCTCGCGCACCGGTCAATTTTCTACCCACACAACACAAAGGATTTAAAAAAAAATATATATACCCTGCTTATATGTATGCCGACAACATAAAAAATGAACAAAGCAACGTATACTATTGAATGATTAGTGCAACAATTAATTAAAAGTATGTAACGTGTATCTGAATGCGGTTCAGTACATAGAATATCAAAATACTACTCAATGCCAAATAACTTATACCGGTTTCATACCTTTTTACAGAAGTAGAGCTCTCCCATATAACCGTTATGCTCTTCGACCCATTCTTATGTTTTGTTTGACCAATTCCTATGTGCTGTTTGATGCTTTGTAAAAAGCATCAGGTAAGTGTTAATGTTTTTTTTAGAAATTGTGTAAAATAATAGGTAAACGGATATGCCCTTCACCCATACATTAAACGTTAGTAGTGTCTCCCTAATACAAATGTAATGTAATTAACTTACTATATAATTTATCATCAACTATTCTTTTCAGTGCAGATTACTGGGGGATTCGGGAGTTTAAGGACCCCTCCTGTTTTTTGACTCTCAGTAAAATGAAGATAAATGAATATTGTAGGTACTGAGCTGGTGGCACCACAGTATCGAGTAATGGCGGGATTTATGATCCAGGGTTTCTATAGTATCGGGTACATGGCTCTTTCCCTGATGTCCTATTATATCCGACACTGGCGCTACATAGAACTGGTGATTACACTTCCGGTGGTGCTCTTCTCCGTGTATCTATGGTATGTTTGATCTAAATCTGACTACCTTATTGGTAATACAGAAATAGAAATATTGATCTTTTCTTGAAATTCCGTTGAATTTTTTTTTTTGAAATTTTAAGTATATGTTTACTATGAACTCTGAGATATATGATACATAGCTTATAGTATGAACGTTGTGCTTATCCTTATTTTTTAAACGAGCGTGTTATCTGTTAATACCGGTATTTTAGGTTACATTTGACGCTGTATTTGTGTTGATTGTTCATATCTCTTAAACCATTTTAGAATTTTTATTATAAATGCACTTTATTGCATTTGGATTGTGCCGTTCATTAGTGAACATATTCCAAATTATCATTCATTAAATCATTACACTAGTTTCTTACTATAGAACCCCTTTGAGAAGATAGTTTTTGTTGCTGAAGTTACCATATAGCCTGAACATACTTTACACTGAAAGTCAACTGAGTATTGATCTTACGGTGATACCATTTCAGCATACTGCCGGAATCCATTCGGTGGCTTTTGTCCAAAAACAAAATAGAAGACGCTACAACAATAATCAAGAATGTTGCCAGAGTGAATAATGTGGAGCTCACCGACACAATGCTGGAGAATCTCAATGACGAAAAAGAGCAGGCGGAAGTGGCAGATGGCCGGAAGTACACGTTTATTGATCTGTTTCGACCATTACCGATGCTGGCCATTTCCATCAACGTCTGGTTCAACTGGTATGTGTGTGTCATAGGTTATAACGCCTCTGTCTATAATTATCTCATTAATTAATGCATGTCTTGATGCACGTCTTGTTTTGAAGAAATAGCTCTACAGTTTCATGTTTATTATAACTTCATTATTGTTTTTATTAACTGCCTCCCCCTTTTTAAGTGTACCTTTGTTTGTAATTCCCTTTCTGTTGATGTCCCCTCGGCTCCTGCTGTTGTTTTCCCTTTTGTTTTTTATTTTCCTCGGTTTTTGCTATTATTATCCTTTTTGTTTTTGTTACCTGCATTTTTTGTTGTTGTGTTCACTATGTGTTTCGATGTTTCCTGGGTTATATTGTTGTCTCTTTGCTCTAGTTTAGTTTAAGTTCCTGTAATTGTCGTTTTTTTGTGGTGTACCCTGTGGTGCTGTTATATTTTTCCTTCCTTGTTTTGTCGTTTTATTTTCTCCCTTTTGTTATCGGACGCCTTCGGATATTGTGTTTGCCTTGCCTTACCTTTTGTTTTCGGACGCCTTCGGTTCTTGTGTTTGCCTTGCCTTAACTTTTGTTTTGAGACACCTTCGGTTCTTGTGTTTGCCTCGCTTACCTTTTGTTTTCGGACGCCTTCGGATCTTGTGTTTGTCTCGCTTACCTTTTGATTTCGGACGCCTTCGGATCTTGTGTTTGCCTCGCTTACCTTTTGTTTTCGGACGCCTTCGGATCTTGTGTTTGTCTCGCTTACCTTTTGTTTTCGGACGCCTTCGGATCTTGTATTTGTCTCGCTTATCTTTTGTTTTCGGACGCTTTCGGATCTTGTGTTTGCCTTCCGGTTTTTTTCGGCGAACTGTCAGTTTCTCAAATTGTCTTTCCTTTTGTGTTGATATACTCTCCAATATTTTTTTGTTTTTTTTGTACAACGATTTTTTTTTCAATATTTATCTTTGTCTGACGCTATGATTAAAATTTACAATTTCACTGACCACAATTATAATTTGGAGCTTAATTTCAGGTTTGTCAATGCTATGGTGTACTACGGTCTTTCCCTTGGAACGGGTAACCTTGGAGGGGACCCATATATCAACTTCTGTATAGCCGGGGCTGTGGAGATCCCCGCCTATGTCCTCTGTGTTCTTTTCCTTAACAAACTGGGGAGACGTTGGCCGTTATGTGGAACCATGGTTGTCGGGGGCTTATCCTGTATAGTATCCGGTTTTGTACCAAGCGGTATGGACCATTTTATTGATACATAACTTTTCTATTGAGACCGTTCTTCGTGTTTGATTCTCACGCAGATATTATTAAACAAGAATGTGTCTTAAAACCTTCTTAAAACAATGTTTGAACTGTTAAAATAATTTAAGTTAAACTTGTCAAGTTGATTTATGTAAGACATCTGACTTAAGCATATTGTATCCAACATGCTTGTCTTCATTTTTAAGGTAAAGTTTAATGTGATTTTCAAAAATCTTTTATATAGATTTGGTAGCAGTCAAGGTCACATTTGCAATGATTGGAAAATTTGGAATCACTGCATCGTACGCGATCATTTATTTAATGACAGCGGAAGTGTTCCCAACGGTTGTAAGGTAATTATCAACCTAATTAGAATTTCAATCAATCTACCTATAGTTTCCTAATACATTTCTTCATTTTAAATATTTTGACCCAGACATTCAGATCATCTACGATCAGTTCTTATATAATGAATTCATCATGGAACCTGGGACACAAGCTGAAGGAAGACAATTCTCGTCTGATGATGTTTAACATTATACAAAGATGATGATGATGATGATGATGATGATGATGAAGAAGATGCTCGTCATGTATATATTATGATGATGATGTTGATGTTTGTTAATGTGTATAGATTTGATTATGATACTGGTAAAAGTGTATATATGACGATGATGATGATGATGATGATGATGATGATGTGTATGGACGATGATGATGATGTTGTTGATGATGATGATGATGATAGGGACGATGCTTGTCAATGTATATAAAGGATGATGATTGAGAAACGCGTGCTTCTGTCTACAAGTGAGAGTATGTGTGTAATGTCTGTTTGATGTAGATGTAAAAAAACATTCGAAAAATAAAAACCACAGGCAAGGCAGAACCGAAAACATGTGTCTTTGCATAAATATTTTTTATCTTATTTCATAAACTGTGTTCCGTTCTCTTTATATCAATGTTATATTTATACTATAACATGGCTTCTGATCCCCCGTTCATCCTATAGAAATGCCGGCATGGGCGTGTCTTCTATGACTGCTAAAATTGGTGGAATGCTGGCGCCTATTATTCTAGAACTCCGGTTGGTTTGGATTCCCCTGCCTCTCGTGTTGTTTGGAATTCTATCGGTCCTGGCTGGAGCCCTTGCCCTAATACTTCCAGAGACAGCAGGGAAACCCCTACCTCAAACCATTGAAGAAACCATAAGCAACAAGTCCAAGTAAGAAAGGGAATATACAGTATCAACATGCATGCGATTTCATCTATCCTCTGTATCAATTACTTGTAGTATAATGATAAATAACAATTATTAAGTTGTGTTAGGGCAAGTAATGCAACAGTTGTTTGAACCGATTTTTGTGATGATGTATAATTAACAGATTATTTAAATATTTACGATTTAATCAATGTATATTGAATAGACATACTTAAATACTTCGTTCAACTTTTTATGTATGCATCTCCTGCATGCAATAAATATTACGACGATTCGAATGTAAATTGTGTTAATGAAAGTTTTATTTCGTTTTGCAGAAAAGTAGGAAAAGAAAAGGGAGATGCCATGCCTACGGACGACGGTAAAAATGCAATATGTTAGTAGTTTAACGCAACAGTCCATCTCCAGTCTTCCTCAGGGAAAGGATCATCTCTAAATGATAGCTTAGTATAGAAACTGCAAAAGGGTGTTCATTTTGTAGATCCTGTTTTGTGTGGGCTGGCGTGATATGAGTAAAGATTGGATTCTCACACGAACTTATGTGTGACCCGAACATGACAAAGTACAGTTGTATGTTGTAGCATTTTCCCTCTAACATTTTGAGTTCGGATTTGTCTGGATGTATTGCTGCTGTGATGCAGTTTACATACTTTACATTATTTCACTGTATACTTTGATATCAAAATATCAACCGTTTTATTTTTCTTTTATATATAACTCCACACATTTTTTTCACAGACTGCACACACAAACAGACATTTCAGCGTAAATGAATTGATAAAAACAAAAAAACAATGTTGTTCTTTTGCAAGGATTTCATTCTTTTTCTCATAATGCGTTAGTGTAATTATCATTCAACATTAAAAACTCGTCTGACTTACATAAAAACGTTTACGTTTACACTGCCGTATTTAAACTATCGGCAAACATGTAAAACAGTTGACATCGCTGGCTTAAGTGTGTCAAAATTTTGATGTTGCAACTCCAAGTTGTATAATGGAAAAAAAATCTTGTTAAGTCTGTATATCAGATATTGCTTAAGCATTGGTACGCCCTTTCGTGGATGAAGTTTCCAATGCCTGCAAAATTCTAGATTTCTGGTCTTAGTAACGCACCAGGAAATAATATACCACAGCCTACAAGGACATATTATACTACAGCGACATAAAATACAAGACCTGAAAATACCACAGCGTCAGCGCACAAAGAAATAATATACATATGCAAGACCACACACGTGTGTTTTTCTAACGAATCAGAAAGCACGAGGTTATTGCGCGGACGAATATATTTTCACGAGTGCGCGGAGCGCACGAGTGAATATTTACGTCCGCGCAATAACCTCGTGCTTTCTGATTCGTTAGAAAAACACAATATGTGGTCTTGCTTTTATCACATACCTTCAGTATTTGTTAGAGATCGATACAAAGATTTTATAAACTTTGATGTTTTTTGAAAATACCGGGAACTTTTCAGTTCGCCATGACAAGGGGGTTCCCATAAAAAGTAGTTCCGGCTAGTAGGTAAATTCAACATTCTGTATTGCATATGTGCAATACAAAACGTTGTATTTCATGGTCTGAAAATTGCTTGTATTACTATAACAAGATGCAACAGGTATGTGATAAAATAGCGTCAGCGCACAAAGACATAATATACAATAGCGTCAACGCAAAAAAACATAATATACAATAGCGTCAGCGCACAAAGACATAATATACAAATAGCGTCAGCGCACAAAGACATAATATACAAATAGCGTCAACGCAAATAGACATAATATACAATAAAGTTAGCGCACAAAGACATTATATACAAATAGCGTCAACGCAAAAAGACAAAACAAACAATAACGTCAGCGCACAAAGACATAATTACAATAAAGTCAGCGCACAAAGACATTATACATGTATACAATAGCGTCAGCGCACAAAGACATTATTTACAATAGCGTCAGCGCACAAAGACATACTATACAATAGCATCAACGTAAAAAGACATAATATACAATAGCGTCAGCGCACAAAGACATAATATACAATAGCGTCAGCGCACAAAGACATAATATACTATAGCATCAACGCAAAAAGACATAATATACAATAGCGTCAACGCAAAAAGACATAATATACAATAGCGTCAACGCACAAAGACATAATATACAATAGCGTTAGCGCACAAAGACATAATATACAAATAGCGTCAACGCAAAAAGACAAAATAAACAATAACGTCAGCGCACAAAGACATAATATACAATAAACTCAGCGCACAAAGACATAATATACAATGCTGTCAGCGCACAAAGATATAATTACAATAGCATCAGTGCACAAAGACATAATTACAATAGCGTCAACGCACGATGACATTATATACCACAGCGTCAGCGCATAGAGACATAACATATAATAGCGTCAAAGCACAAAGACATGATATATAAAAGCGTCAATGCACAAAGACATAATATACAATAGCATCAACGCAAAAAGACATAATATACAAAAGAGTCAGCGCACAAAGACATAATATACAATAGCATCAACGCAGAAAGACATAATATACAATAGCGTCAGCGCACAAAGACATAATATACAATAGCGTCAGCGCACAAAGACATAATATACAATAGCATCAACGCAAAAAGATATAATTACAATAGCGTCAGTGCACAAAGACATAATTACAATAGCTTCACGCACGATGGCATTATATACCACAGCGTCAGCGCACAGAGACATAATATATAATAGCGTCAAAGCACAAAGACATGATATACAAAAGCGTCAATGCACAAAGACATAATATACAATAGCGTCAACGCAAAAGATATAATTACAATAGCGTCAGTGCACAAAGACATAATTACAATAGCTTCACGTACGATGACATTATATACCATGGCGTCAGCGCACAGAGACATAATATATAATAGCGTCAAAGCACAAAGACATGATATACAAAAGCGTCAATGCACAAAGACATTATATACAATAGCGTCAGCGCACAAAGACATAATATACAATAGTGTCAACACACAAAGACATAATTCGAATGTAACGTCTAAAATACTAAAAGAATTCTTTAATTACTATAAACAATGCTATTATACACGGAATATGCTTTTTCGTATAATGCACGAGAGATGGTGCTACCACATATGGCTTAATGGAAATATTTACGTGCTGGTGCTTATTTTTATTTTTTTAAATTATATATTTGAATGCTCTGTAACATTAAAATACTAGATTGTATTACAGAAACATTCTTTATGCTTCTTAGTCATCAAATATCGATTCAGATTACTTTCTAGTCATATCTTTATGACGTCAATGTCGTAAATTGCACGCAAACGTGGTGATGGTGTAGGATGTGCGGGCAGAAATATAAACCATAGGTCTAGTATACATCTAGTGGACTGCTTGTGACAACCGTAATGACTTGATGGCATTACACTTTCAGCTATTATTACAAAGTATTAATTTACATTTAATATTGACTCAATGGAAACTCCCTCAAATGTCCTAGCGATGAGGAGAACACAGAGACAGTTCAAGTCATTGTATGAAGCATTCAAATGGTAAACAAATGGTTGAACCGTGGGAATAGTTTTTTGAACGTTCTCATAACCATAACTGTTTTGTTTGCTGAAACTGTGTTTACAAAACTTCAATTCGATTGTCTCCGAGACAAAATGGTGCTCAATGTGCATAGTTATTGAAGGAATGTTATTTGTGCATTCGTTTACAGGGTATCAGTAAAAAGTTCTTAATATTTTCTTTTGCTTTTTGTTTCTTTAAACAAAACTCTTTTCGTGTTTAGAGTAGTACAAATTTTCCAGACGATGGGGTAAAAATTCTAAGGTTCAACAAGCTATAGTCATCCTGATTCAACCCCATGATAAGTTATTTTCAAATACCTGAATTAGAGATCGAAACTAATATATGTAATTTAAATATATTGTAACTGGTACATTAGCTATTAAAATGTTCCAGAGCGGGTTAATATAGTCAATATTGGCGTTAAGGCTTATGTCTTCATTAAACATGTTTCACTGGAACTACAGTAAACAGGAAATTAATCTCCGCATGACCTATATAAATGAAGGTATATAAATGAACGAAATATAATATGTCCTTTCGTAGCATTTGGTTGGGTCACAAAAGACATTTACATGTTATTGGTCCGGTTAGTTATTTTTTATGAAGACATCACCTTAATACCTTATTATTGATTGTGTTAACCTCGCTATGTACCATTTTAATAGTTAATGTACAGTACAATTTCAATATATTTAAAGAACAAATAGAAGAGCAAATTCAAAGACCCCAATTGAAAATCGGAACTTTCAGGGGGATTGTTGAACCTTAACATTTTTTACAATTCAAAAGTGTTATTTGTTAATGACTTTCGTTTTCCTCGAGTCGTCGGGTGGCGGTTATATTCTTGGCGAGTCTTTGGGTAATGTCACTTTCTAATGGATATACTATAGATACTTTTTCTATGTAATTTGTATCTTTCTTTTGTTCATATTTTGTCCTACTTTTATCGATTTCGAGTTTTAATTATGGTTTTGTTGATACTTCGGTATTCTCCTGTTATTTGTTATACATTATTTGTATATATATACCAGTATCATTGTGACGTCACATAAAAAAACGATAACGTTATCATTCCATAGCAAAACACTTTTTTCCCATTTTTTTCTATTAGTAAAATATAATTGCTTGTTGTCAAAATGAGCTAGTTTAAGTTATTGTTGACACAAACAGATTGTTTTCATAAATATTATGGACAATTCCATACATTTCCTTGAGGATGGTTATTGCTAAAAATCATTATATAAAATGTCAGTTGATTTATAGAAAAGAACAGTTATTTGTTTTAAATCAATATTTGAAAAAAGATTTACTTTAACATTCCATTATCTTTAAATCCATCAATTGTAACCAATTGCAATGTCACTGCCCATATTACGTCATATATTGACACGTGTAGCTAACCGTATATCCCACCATGAACAAACAATGAAGTAACATTTGTGGACTGTGTTATATACCGTGATTTAGCATCAGTTACTTAGTTGTTGTGAGAAAAAAATACTTTATACATAGGATGAAAAACCTATTGTAAAATCAGGAAATTATTTTGAAATACATTTAGTAAAAATAATAAATTAGTAGTGATAAGTCTTACATTTGAATGAATAATACGGCCTTAAAGGGGTAATTGGGGATTATTTCTAAGGCTTTCCTGGAATACTAGAAGAACTTTTGTCTTCATTCAGCGATCCCTCCGTAAAATGAAAGGGCGGGTAAAAGAAGGAGAAATAAGGGTTAACGTTGCACAGACTATTTCTAAAACTCGGTGAATGTTTTCCGACCTAATTTGGCATAGCTTGTTAGGTTAGGGACAGAACGGTAGGACAAAATAAAAATAAATAAGAGCTTATGTCTATAAAAGCCTACCATTTATGACCAGTTTAATGAACTCTTAATCCCATTTAGCATGACATGTAGGCTCAATAGCGGAAATTTAGGTTTATATTTACAGACTACTTCTAAGCTATAGCGGTAGGAATTTTCACGTAATTTGGTTTTGGCAATAACTGGATTAGGGGGAAAATATATAAATGAAGACTTTTACTGAATGGAGACAGTGGTGAAGAGTCTCAAAATAGAAAACTGCCTTTAGAAAATAACGTTGTGGGTTCTAGGATGTTAGTATTAATAAACGTTTGTACGCTCCAACTTTCAGTTTTAATCAGTGAAAGTAAAACATAATCGGTGCTAAGAGCTCCAAAATAGATTTTGAGAAAATCTACAGAGAATCACCTCCTTGCGTTGACATCCGAATAGCTTAATATTATATCGTATTTTTCATAATCATGTCTGTTAATGGCATCTAGCATGCACAATAATTCAGTGTCACGAGTTAAATGGAATTAAGTAATCGCACCTGTTTAGTAAACATACGTGATATGTTTTGTCACGTTATTTCAGTGTTAAGCAGTGGATAAACCCATTTAAAATATCACGTTATAGTGTGTGTATATGTACGTCTACTTACGTTATGTGTGAACATGGAATCAGTTGAAACCAAATAGGTTTATGAAAAGCAGGTAGCAAAACCGCTTGCACAAATTAGTTACGGGTGGATATTCAAAAAGCTGTTCCAGGTGTCTGTTGAAATAACGGGCGTTCATCATGTCGATAACGTGTTTAAGCAACTGAGGTTAAATGCTGGCCAAAAGTGTCTTTGGTGACTCTGACCAAAGGTTAACCTCTTAAAAACCTGTATGTATCTGTAAACTGTAAATAGTTTTGTCTTTTATCAATCTAATGGATAAAAAGAATTTGATAAATCATTTCCACAAGTTAAAAAGATTAACAGAGCGCCTTTTATAAAAATATATGAGGATAGTTATATAACAAGCGGTAAAGAGTCGAAGATTCTGTTTTTTCCGTAAACAATTCTAAAAGAAAGGAACAGAAATTGTTCACGTTTTGTCTGTGAACTACTATCAATGACCCTTGACAGTTTCAACGCGAAGAAATAGTATCTATTTAGTTTGACGAATCTATAATTTTTTTCTACAAAAGCTTATCGTTTTATTAGTATTTATTACAAAACTATTGTGGATATATATTTTTTTGTATTTTGCTCCTAGGAGCAATTTGCAAAGAAATAGTTCTTTAAGGCAACTAAACACTCTAGAGTGCAAACATTTAGGTTATAAACTATTAATTACTAATCATATATTATAAGGAACTAATATTGCCCCTAGAGAAGGTTTCTTGATAATTTAAATTAATTTTATTCATCAGTTTATGAAGTACCAAATTGATAGTATGATATATGTTACTATTGTTTTAGATGTAATAAGTTACGAGTGTCGACTTTGATTAAAGAGTAGGATGTCTTGACGGTATGATGCATTGTATGATAATAATTAAAGAGTAGGATGTCTTGACGGTATGATGCATTGTATGTTAATAATTAAAGATTAGGATGTCTTGACGGTGTAATGCATTGTATGTTAATGATTAATGCTAAGGATGTTTTGGCGGTATGATGCATTGTTTGTTGTTGATGAAAGAGTATGATGTGTTGACAGTATGATGCATTATATGTTCTATATGTTTTACTTGTGTAGAGTTGCGCGAATGTATATCACTATGTGTCATGGTGTTTTGAGAATGAAAAAAATGTCAAATCGATATTTTGTATAAAGTACTTTATAATGATTATTGTAGCTATGATCTACCTTTGATTTGTGAAAGAATTAGTAGTAAAATCGGTTATATGAGTAGTGTAAACATATCTTTATGAAGTGAATCAGGCTTATCTGTGTCTAAGAGAATGGTAAAGTTACACTCATCACGGTTCAGCGCCAAAGTCAAGTAATATGTATGAATATCATGATAGTTTTTAGCTGTTAAATACGTTCGGGTTATTGAAAAAGTGTTTACATGTGATTTCAATTAAAACAAGTAATTTTTTAAGTTGGTGAAATATACCGTGCATGTACATTTTTTGTCGTTTGTGTATGTGGAATAGAAATATGCTTACTAGGTCATGTATATTAGAACCATTTTTTTTTTTAGAATATGGTTTCATATTATATCCCAGCGTACATAACGAAGTTTTTATGAGTTTTGGATAAATGTAAAGTTTCAAATGAAATATTATGTTTTACAACAGTGGAATTGTTATCTATATTTTCTTATATGTCGTTATTGTTGACAAAAGAAAAAAGGAATAAATCAATCATGATGTTAAATCTGTGTTACAGTCATCCTTGCAACATTACCTCCAGCAAGGAGTATTATAATGCATTGATTAACTTTGAGCAGAAGATATCGCTGAGCCTTTCTTATTCATATGTTGTCATTTACTTTAAATATGAAAATAAGTTAGATTTATGAATATATAGACAACCCTTCCATATGTCCTTCAACGAGTTAATGTATTCTTCAAGATATTGATATCAAACCAGTTTTTTTTCTGAAACCCTTGGTAGAGCAATTGTTTCATGTTTCATGTGATGAATGACTCGCGCTTCATTTCGCTCCGGATTAAATATAGTAAAATTGGATCTATTATTAACAGAGGACGTTATTTTAACGCATTCTGTGTTTCCTACAATTTCAAATGAAAGATATTTAGGTGATTGTTTTTGATATGTCAAAATGAAAACCATTTTTTTCTCTCAGGTATTTCAATTACATTCGCTGAATTGAGTTATTGGATGATATCCAATTACATCAGAAAAACTGAAACTCTCTATACGGTTACATCACGCAAATTTTAAAACCAGATAAAATAAATTATAGATATTTTATAACAGTGATGAGAGCATGTCAAAACAGGAATGTTGGAGAAACCAAAGTCGCCAATATGAAGCTGAATGATTGATTAAACATTTCAATTAATTTAACTCATCATGTTTAATACGCTTTTTAATCATATCCTATGATGACGTTTTGTATTTTAAAACAGTTATTTAGAGACCATATACTTTATCTTATAACTTATCGTTCGTTTGCTCAGTAATACCATTATGTATACGTGATCGTTTTTGTAGTTGTGCTATTTTCACGTTTTTCACGAGAAAGATCTCAACAAGAATGTCGACTTTGGTAGCTCAGTCACAAAAAAATCATTAGGATCTTAAAACCGCAAATACAACACTATTTTAATTAGGTTGTACCCTGGTGAAACGAGGTTATACCAATTAATCCCAAATACAACTGGAAGCACAGCCATGTTCTGCTCCAGGACCAGACAAAGATGCGTGCGATTAATTACATGCAACAATGTACATTTTAAATCATCAACGACCAGTGTCAAAATGGAAAATTATTTAATTATTCATTCATAGCTAACACTGCAATTGTTTAGTTCGAAATTATGTAATTGAATACTTTTATTATAAAAAAAATCATTTAAGCACTGTTTCTAAAAACACGTCTTGCATATGAATATGAATCGAATTAAAATAAACAAAAAATCGAAAGATGGACTGGATCAAAATATAAATACATGGATATGTATATTTTGTTTAGTCCGTTTGTACTACGCCATTCAATATGTCGCTTAAATTATTGTCAGTAATGATGATCATTATGTTTATACACTTATATATTTCTGATAGAATTAAATAACATTTAAAAAAAAAAAAATCCAAGATATCAGCCAATCAGGTTATCTGTAATTTCAGTTGCTCGTTGTCACATTGTAGGCTAACTTCAGTCACTAATCTCAATTTATCTCTTTTGCTTAGCAGACAATTTCAGATATACATTTTGACGAGTTGCTCCAACGTATTGACGGTTTTGGACGCTACCAGAAGGTTCGTCTGTTTCTGATATGTTTGGTGGGAATCCTATGTGCGTTTCATTCAATGAACATGGTTTTTGTTGGCGCAAAACCAGAATATGAATGCACAATCAACGACTCAAACAAATTGAACAAAATATTTACAAATGTCTCTTTGAAAAAATGGAAAGATTTTTTAAGGACGGGAGGGGAGGAATGTTCGCTGTATAGCCCTTCTTAGACTTACGACTCTTTGCTCAATGGAAACTTTATACTTGTCGTATCAAACGTTACAGTGCCTTTCAATTTCACAACCGAACCATGCACACAGTGGGAGTACTCAGAGAAAGTATACGGACCAACCATCGTGTCTGAGGTAACTAGTTCACTGCACTCAGATCGTTACAGAACAAAAATGTTTAAAATGATGCTAGATAGTGTGCCATGTTGCTTCATCAACAATAATGCATCAACTTATAAAACAGCAAAACATTGTAAAAAATGTGTTGCAAAGCAAATATGAAATTGCAGCTACACAATATTGTGATTTTAATAGTTGAACATCGACATTATTCAAAGCATTGGTGTATTGAACAAATAGACAATAATAGGTGAAGCTTGCAGTATCAGAGGAGACGGGAACACATGTATAACTAAACTGAAATGTTTTTGCTTTTGTTGTCTTAGTTTAACCTTGTATGCAGTCAAGCATGGTTAAGAAGCACATCAAAGACTCTCTACTTTTTAGGACGCCTTGTTGGGGCGGTAGTTTTTGGCCAATTTTCTGATATGTAAGTACATTGTGTATGTGTTTGTATAGCTTTTTTGTCGAATCTATATACACACTTTTCGATTTTTTTGAAGACTTCGTGGATCGATTACATATTCAGATAAAAATATCAACAAAACGAATATAGCTAATCATTGCTAACGTTTTCAAACCTTACGGCCATCTTAACGCAATTACTTTTAATTTCTAGGTAACAATATTATTATGTAGTATGAGTAATAAATTAATGGTAGTAATGACGTTATCAAACTAATAAGATAAATAACACCAAATAAGATTCATTTTTGCAAATTATTATATAAAGCAATTGGATTCAAACATTGACATTGTAATTTTAATTGCATTACAGATTTGGAAGGAAACCTATGTTCTTCTGCGGTCTAGTATTACTGCTTATATCCGGGTGTGCGGCAGCCTTAGCACCATCTATGGTAGTGTTCATACCATTTTACATTCTACAGGGAGCAGCACAAACGGGCCTCTTTCTAGTAGCGTACACTATGTGTAAGTGTCTGCCATTATAATAATAATCCGCCAGTAAGAAAGAAAAAAATATGGTCTTTAGTTTATTTAAACTATTTAATTGATAATTAAATTAACATTTTAAATAATGTATGAAAATGGATAACAAAATTCAATGTAACATCCTAAAAAAACGACATGGAACCGAAGAAAATTGCTTTGCGATTATCACTGATTAACTTATTCAACTTTACTTTGCTCTAACACATGAAGGTTACGTACGTCTTTCGTTGTTATGATTATTTAATTAGTTTAAGATTAAATCTAATATAGCAAAATATTGTTTTGTTAGGTGTTAACATGTTTGTCTAGAATGTTACTGGACGTAAAAATAAAATAATAACGATCTAAAGTATTATTCAATTCACATGACGTTAACAGTGTATACCAAACGCTTATTTGTTTTTATCTTTGTATATGTTCATCAGGAACTTAGCGGAGGTTTACTTAATATATGTATTTATCAGATATAATAATGTATGTCCCATTGTTATATATCTCGATATACTTTGAAGGCACTGAGTTGGTGGCCCCTCGGTACCGTTTGCTGGCCGGTCAGACGATCGTGAGTTTCTACGCTGTCGGGTACATGCTTCTCTCCTTGCTGGCCTACTTCATCAGACACTGGCGCTATATCGAGATGGTTATCACGGTACCGGTGGT